GAGCACTACTAGCACTACAGAGCCCTGCACCAACAGCACCGATCAAAAGTAGTTAAGGGTACATGTCGCACTGGGGCACTAATAGCACAGAGCGCTAACAGAACTAGAGCACATATGTAGAACTAGAGCACTTGTAGCACTAGAGTATAATAGCACTAATAAATAGTTCTACATCACTCATGGCGCACTAGAGCACTACAACAATGGCACTATATCACTCATAGCACCAGAGCAAAAATGGCACCAGAACTCCAACAGCACACTCCGCGCGCATTATTACCAGAGCTTGGGCTCGAGGGACGCCTCGATGCTGAGGCCGAAGAGGTTGGGATAGGTCGTCAGAATCTTGGCGGCACCGGCGAGGCTAACGTCCAGCTTGTCTCTTAGCCACCACAGCTTGGGCTCGAGGTTGTCCGAGACGCTCAGGGTCAGGAATCCAGGCGATCTTGTGTTTTTTTCATCACGTGGCGTCAGACGGAGAAACGGCAAACCATTAATTACAATAAAACACATGTATACGATGACAATCTACGAGCCATGTATTTATGTTGATTGAATAAACAATTTGTGGGGTTCTTGGAGGAAAAGGGAAATAACCACCGGCGAATAGCTCGGGGGAGGAGGAGGAGGAGAGAGTGGAGTAAATACAGGAAGAGGGCAGACCACGACTAAACAGGAATTGGATTGGGTGTTCGTGAGGGAAATGGCGGCGTGTTTATCTTGGGGGTTTTCTGCCTGAAAGAGACAGGTTCTAAGATGACGAGGACACGTGCAGGGACAAGAGCGACACCGCTCGCTGCCCCCGTCACAACACCAAACCACACACACGAGAGTGAGACAAGACCGCTCACACGAGAGAGAGACGTCAAACCACACACACGAGAGAAAGACGTGACCACTCCGCAGTAGAGCAATGGGTAGAACGTACACCCGGCCCCATCCTCAAACGCAAAGCAACCCTAGTAACCGCAGACTACATAGTGCCGTTGATGGCTAGAATAAAAATAATAAAAAACCCGACAAGACCAACCTTATCAAGAGCGAAATAACGCACCTCCCGATGAACTTCCACGCGGCGGCCTCCGACATTCCCAAGCGGTCTTGAAGCCATTGCACCTGCCAAAACAAATGCGACGGCGAAAAAGGCGGAGAAGGAGGAGGACAAGGAATTAAACACGACGCCACCGGTGTACGTAGAGCCAGGCGGGGCAGACAGGGGGGCACAGGAATCACTAGCAAGAGCAACCGGTTGCCTGGAAACTAAATATTGTACACGTTGGGTGAAGCGAAGGCGCAGCGTATGACAGAATGACGAAAGTGAAAATCAGTGTGAATATACAGATAGCGCAAAGACTGGGGCCCTTGGTTCCTCTTGTGGGCTACAAATGTCCGCTACATAGGTTTTCATGTAGCGGTGCTTGGCCGGGCTCACAACATAGGGCCCAAGCTATTTATGTCCGATAAAATGTCGAAGCCCTTGTCTAACAACCACAACAGCAGCAGCAGCAGCAGCAGCAGCAGCAGCAGCAGCAGCAGCAGCAACATCAACATCAACAACAGAAGTCGTGACCATTGTACAAACCTTTGGTGCGAGATTGCCGTCCGCGCTGTGTCCCAGCAACGACGGCTGCCGGAACAAGACTCGCCTGACCACCTTGCTAGAGGCGTGAGAGCTGAGCCACTCTAGCTTAGGGGCGAGGTTCTCCTCCGAGCTGAGCGTGAAGAAGGTCGGAAACCTGGACAAGCGAGCGCCAAAAAATTCGAATAAAATTAGGGAATAGAGCAGATCATTTCCCAAGAAAAGGAGGTTTTCCTATGAGCTCGGCGTGAGGAAGGTCGGAAAAGCAAGCGCCAGAATTTTCGGAGAAAAATATGAAAACACAATATTTTCCAAGAACAAGTCGAAAGCGCCCGAATAAAAGTGAAGCGGTCAGTCTGTTGTTTTGATGTGTAGCAGACCCCCCCCCGCAAAGAAAAGCGATGGAAAACTTCAGCAGCTACGGCCTACCTGCTGCGAGTCTTGGTGGTCTTGTGCTGCCGTGCCTAAAGGGAAGCGGGTGAAAAAAAAAAAAACGTGTCTTTTCTCTATTGTAATAGACGTGTGCCACAACGAATACTCGTCCCGGCCACACCCCGCTCCCCGTCCTGACCTCAACCGGCGTTCTGCCTGAAACTACTTGCGCAAGCAGGAGGCCAGAAGAACCTCTTCCCCTCAACAAGACAAATCCCCCCGCTAGCCATACTGGGGGACGGGAAGTGGGCGGAAAAGGCGGGATTTGATATCGAAAGGATAGGGAAAACATTCTTGAGCCACCTTCGGCCATTAGGAAGGAACGATTCGGCCATCGGTGATCATCGGTCTTGTGGGAACAACGCTCCACCCTCTTGGAGGACACGTGGTCAATGGTCGAATAGCTAAGGCATGCAAAACATGAGTATACAGCCCCCCCGGCCGTGCCTGCGAATCATGTCGAACACCATCTCTTGGTCCATCTGCAGGGCCTCTGACAGCCAGGATATCTTGGGCATGAGGCTCTCCTCGACGCTGCTGAGGATGACCCCCGGGTTGGCGTAGACGGCTCTAGCGGCCTCCTGCCGTGTGAAACCCAGCGTGTCCCTTAGCCACGCCACCTAGAACCACACGTACGTGCATTGCATTGTTTTCGCACACCGCGTCAGGAATACACGCGCGTTTCGACAATGTTAATGTTGTGTAGCAGAAGGGCATGCTCGTGACTCGAAACTAACAGTTGTATATACAAGCTTGCTTCCGGCCTCGCACCCTATGCTTAGACGCTGAAAAAAGAAAACAACGAAGGCGAAGGTGATCGCGAACCCGCAACACTCCACTTGTCACTCACATCGCCCGCGACAGTGTCAGCAAAACCGAATCCGCAGAAAGTAGCGGGACATTCGAAAGAACGCAACAATCTCTTTGGTGAAGGTCGAAGTCTTTCACGAAAGACTGCCGGGAACAGTACCGGGTATGTATGCTGCACTCTCCCCGTAGTAGGGATGCTCGAGTGTACCTTGGCGGGGGCGCCTTGAGAGGCAGATACGCTTGCCCTTCTGGGAGCACCGCCCTACTGGTGTGGTGTGCCGCGTCGAAAAGATCATGAGCAAGACACGAAAAAATCCCACGTGAAACACTCGAACTCTAGCGAACAAGCCGTCCTCTCCTGTCGCTTGCATCCTCTTCCTTAGTTCCCGCGCTTCCCTTAATCTATACGTATGTAGTCTACCCATAGATACCCCTTCCGATTGCAACTGCTGTACTGCTGTATTGTTTTTCCATGCCGTGTCTCCCGTGCACTTGACCCACACACGCACTTTTGATTAGCCAGCCCGTTAGCGAGATCGGTGCAAAGTAGCAAAGAGAGACACAAACACTTACCCTTCGGTTAGAAACGTGTTGATGTTTACAATCCCGCTACAGACTGACTTCCTTTCATTGGTCAGCCCGATAGCGAGGTCGATGCCGAAAACCAAAAAGGAGAGAGACTCACAAATACATGCGCCGCACCTTAGGAGCCATGTTGTCGTCAATGCTGTGGGCGAAGATTGCCGGGGAGCGTACGACAAGACGGATCGATTGCGGCCTCGACAGCCCAACTTCCTGCTGGAGCCACCTGAGATAGGATCGGATGGGAGAGATGTAACAACCACCGATGTAATCGAATGGGGTGCGGAGGACTGAGGTAGGGTAACAATATTCTCAGAAATAATATCCAACACACGCATGTAGCGCGGCCGATGACTACCATAAAGAAACACACGCTCGATCGGGATAGAGCCAAACGGAATAAGCTGTGTCCGATTACCAGTAAGCGGTGGAGAGGTGGCACTTCCCCCTACACCGGCTTTCAAAGCCCAAAGCTCGCCTGTTCCCCGCAACCAACGGGGGTGCGGAAACAGCCCGATACTTGTGCGGAAAGCCCTCGACGAGGTGTTTCAGAAACCGACAATGTTGGTGTTGGCACAATCTTGATTGTGTAGCAGTCGAGCTTTGAAATCGGTCTAGCGGGGGGGGCGGGGGCGGGGGGGGGGTACTCATAGTCGTGCATGCCGTAGTCGTCAGACCATTGACCTCGCATCCCTACAAAGCCGGGACGGAGCACGCCGGGTTCTCACCGGACCAGGCTCTCACATCACCAAGCGCGAAGCGCCGTGAGATATTCGGCGAGTCGCATGAAGGGTGCGCTGCATCCTGC